TGTGTGTGTGTGTGTGTGTGTGTGTGTGTGTGTGTGTGTGTGTGTGTCTGTGTGTGTGTGTGTGTCTGTGTGTCTGTGTGTGTGTGTCTGTGTAGGTCAGAGGAACCTCAGGTGCCGTTTCTCAGGGATCTCCACCTTTGTTTGAAGCAGGCCTCACTGAGGTTCTCCGAGTCTGGGCCAGCGGGACGGTGAGCAGGGGCATCCTCCTGTCTCCACGACCCGTCACTGGGGTTACAGGCGTGCACCGCCACAACCATCTTCCTACAGGATCCTGGAGGCTCAGCCCCAGGCCTCAGCCTGGCAAGCCTTCTGCCAGCTGCTTTGCTCCGCCAGGACGTCTTTTGGCTGTCTCGGGGGGAGCTGGAGAGCCCGGGCTTGTTTCAGTCAGTGTTCAAAAGGAACAGACCCGGTGGAATGGATACACACACATACACAAACACACACATATATACACACACACGTGTATACACATACACACACACCTACACATTTGCACACACACACACGCACACACATATATAACACACATCCATACACACACACATCCATGCTCGTATACACACACACAGGTCCGTGCGCACATACATTTATTAATGGCTTCCGGGGTGAGGTCCGCTCTCTTCTCAGTAATGTTTCTGGAGTAAGCGTCGGACCCGCAAGAGTGGAGCCAAGCTGGGCCAGCCCCGGGCAGGCCTCCGTCCTGGTCCAGGTCGTCCCATCTTACGGACTAAAGTCGAAAGGCAGGGTGGGAGGCGTGGGCGGGGCGAGCAGGTTAAGGACAGCTGTATCCGCTGTCCCCCAGGTCCTGCTGTCCCCCAGGTCCTGCTGTCCCCTAGGCTGTGCTGTCCCCCAGGCTGTGCTGTCCCCCAGGTCCTGCTGTCCCCCAGGTCCTGCTGTCCCCCAGGTCCTGCTGTCCCCCCAGGCTGTGCTGTCCCCCAGGCTGTGCTGTCCCCCAGGCTGTGCTGTCCCCCAGGCTGCGCTGTCCAGCTCTAGGACTTAAGGCCCTCTTCTGGCCTACACACACACAATAAAATAAAATAGATATAAAATAAAAAAAAAATGAACCTTTAAAGGAAAAAATAGCAAAACTAAGATACAGCGGCCCAGGCCTGTGCCCCTAGGACATGGGAAACAGACAGGAAAGTCCTAAGGCACAGGCCTGCCCGGGCGGTTTAGCCCCTTTCTCAAAAACCGAACAAACAGACAAAAATCTCCGCCCCTCCAAGTCCATGAATCCCAACTCCAGCAGCTCAAATATTTCACCATCACGGTGACAGAGGCCACAAAGTGTGTGGAAACCACAGGAAGGCGAACGCTGGGGAGGGTCCCTGGCAGTTCCCAGCCGTGCCTGAAGAGGGCACTGTCGCCTGGAGCTGCACCCACCTCCCTCCAAATCCTGGAGTCCTCCCCTTGCTGACTCCTCTCACCTTAATCACACACGCACACACGCACACACGCACACGCACAGGCACACGCACAGGCACACGCACAGGCACACACACTTCAGTCTGCGTGGGCTCCTTCCTGCAGAGGCTCCCAGGCTGGACTCTCAACGTCCTGTTTTGAAAATGGAGGAATGCCAGGCCTGCCATGCTGGTACAGCTGGTACTCATGACTGGCTGGCTGTGGGGTCCCTCCTAAGCCCAGCCACCGGCAGCGCTGCTCTGGGGAAGAAATCCAAGGACAATTTGGACCATCTGGGGTCACTCTTTATAAAGGTTTATTTATTATGTGTGCAGCGCTCTGCCTGCGTGTGCGCCTGCTCACCAGCAGAGGGCACAGGATCTCATCATGGAAGGCTGTGAGCCGCCACACGGGGGCTGGGAACTGAGCTCAGGACCTCTGGAAGAGCAGCCAGTGCTCTTAACCTCCGAGCCGTCTGTCCGGCCCCTGGCGTCACTCTTGTCCCCTGGCTGTGGCTTCCGTCTGTTGACCCTCCTTCCAGCTGCAGGGAAACTGTCCGGGGACAGCCGCCAGCATCTCCCAGGGCCTCCATCCCAGGTAGGCGAGCGAGCTGTCGGTTACTTCGGTTAACACACGCTGATCTGTTAAGCGGAGCTGGCCCCAGGGCTGGCCGCTCCCGGCAGTCGTCCTGGCCTCCTGGCAGCTGCCCACTGAGAGGCAGCCTTGAATGGAGCTTATTGACCGGCGTGGGCAGGCATTGTGGCCTCCAGCCCAGAGGGGTCAGGAGGTCAGACAGGCCATGCAAGGCAGCACGTAGGCCCAGCCCCCGCCACCTCTGCTTTCCCAGATCTGATGCCTTGCTACCAGATTGGGGGTGGGGGACCTCAGGGAGGTGCCCGGAAAGGCAGGCCGGCCAGCAGGCGAGATGGTGATCTCAGCTGTCTCCAGTGGTGTTCTAAGACACCTCAAACCCCTCCCCTCCTCCCGTGAAGGCCTCGAGTGCATCAGCTGCCATCCCAGCTTCACGGCTGCACGGCCCTCCGCTGTCCGGGGGAGGGGTTGGTGCCCTCAGGGAGCCTCAGGAGACCGGAGGGTTCGTGCCCTGCCCCCCTAAATCCTCCAGTCCCGGTAGCGTCCCTAGATGCTACAAGGACTGGACCCCGGGGAGGCCGGGCCGCAGCTCTGAGTGAACTGTGTCTGTCCCTGAGTCCGGGCCACCCCCAGGGTGCAGGTCCCTTGACTCAGGGCTTGCCCAGCGTACATCTCCAGCGCCCCGCAAACGGGAGGGGCCTGTAACCCCGGCCCTGGGGAAACGGGAGCAGGAGATCCGGAGTTCAGAGTGGTCCAGGCCAGCCTGGGTATGTGAGCCAGCCAGCTGATCCTCCTGAGCTGCCCTGCCTCAGGCACCACCTCTAGACCTCAGAAGGGCGTCTGGAAGGTTCCCCGGCCCCCGGGCTTCGCCGCTGCCGCTGAGTGCCCACGGCTGGCGAGGAGGGTGAGCTGGGGGCGGTGGGCGCTGGCGGAGCGAGGGCGAGCAGGCGGCGCTCACCTGGCCGCTCTCCGGCAGGCCTCCCCGGCGTACAACTTCAGCTTCCCCCGGAGGAAGTTGGCGTAGACCCGGAAGAGTTTGCAGAAAGTATCCGCAGACAGCGTTCGGAGCGGGGGCAGCGGGCTGGCCTCGGGGGCTGACTCCGCTTCCTTCTGTCGGGAGGAGAGGGCTGCAGGTGAAAAAGTGGCCAGGGGCAGGACGGTGGAGCCTGAGAAGCAGGGCCTCGGTGTTGTGTGTGCGTGTGCGCGTGCGCACAGTGTGTTCCGTGTGGAGCAGAGGCGTGTCTTCATCCACTCTCCACTTTTGTTTTGATTTGGCGGTGTGGGTGTGAATGTGTGCAGGTGGCCAGGGCCTAGGAAATACAAGCCAGATCCCCGGGGGCCCCCACGTGTGCGCTCTGCACAAGAGCCAGCTCTCCGGCCTGTGGACAAAGGGCGGAGGCAGCCAGAGCGAGTGTCAGCCTCGCCTCTCACCCTCTGGTCCCGGGATTCGAACCTGGGGCGTCTGAGCTGTGTTGCTGGCTCCGCCCCCAGCCCACCCTGCAGATGGGTGAGCCCGCAGCTGCCCTGCTCACCTGGGCGCCCAGCCCTCGGAGCAGGGCAGCAAGGCTGCGCAGGCCGCTCACCGCTCTGTCCAAGTGCAGCTGCAGGGGCTGCGGCGCCTGCGAGGAGTTGGCCAGCAGGGCCTGTCCTCGAACCACGGCCTCCGACAGCAGGGCCAGGCCCTGCCGCACTTCTGCAGCCTGCTCCTCCACCTGCAGGAGGCCACAGACTTAGAAACAGCCTCCCAGGCTGTGTCACACCCTTGGACACGGAAGTGGGAGGGACAGAAAGCACGCAGTAAGGCTGATGGATGGACAGATGATAGATGGAGGATGGATGGACGGATGGAAGGATGGATGGATGATGGATGGATGGATAGATGGAAGGATGGATGGATGATAGATGGATGGATGGTTGGTAGATTTATGGATGGAAGGATAAATGGATGATGGATGGATGGAAGGATGGATGGATGATGGATGGAAGAATGGGTGGTGGATGGATGGATAAATGGATGATGGATGGATAGAAGGATGGATGGATGATGGACGGATGATGGATGGCTGGACGGCATTGTCCATATCATTCTTTCCCCCACTCTCACGGCTGCTGGTGGGGTGGGGGTGGGGAACTCACCTCCATTCTTTTCCAAGCGTAGAAGTTGACTTTGGTGTCCGGGACTGTAATGTTCTCACTCAGTCTGGGACCTTCTGCACAACCCATCTGAAAGACAACCCCAGGGTCAGACAACCCCAAGATGTCCACGAAACAGGCAGCCTGCTGAACTGTCCCGGGCACGCTTGAGCGGCCAGCAGCCTGCCCTTCACTCTTTCAGAGATTCACAAGGGCTGGCCTCACCTCGCATTTCGGATCCTCCCACCTCCAAGTACTGGGGTTGTGGTTTGTGCCCCACAAACGGCTCGTGCGTTGCCGGGAATTGAACCCAGGGCTTCTTGCACAGTAGGCACGGCCAGCTTTGCCATGCTTCGGGGAGGGGGCTGAGGGTGGGTTAGGCAGGAAGGCGCCGGGCCCCACTTTCTGTCCCTGCTGGGGCGGGGAGCGTACCGTGGCATTCTCGGCCTCCTTGGCCTCCAGGATGTACCTCTCCAGCAGCCGGTTGTCGCAGATGAGGCGCGGGGCAGCGCCGAGAGCCGGGCGGCCCAGCGGCAGCAGCAGCAGCGGCAGCAGCGGCAGCAGCGGCAGCAGCGGCAGCAGGGTGGGACTTTCTGGAAGGAAGGCGGGCTGAGCGAGGGGGAGGCGGGCTGGGCCGCCCACCGGCGCGGCTCCCCGCTGCTCCGGCTCGGCCCGCGCGGCCTCCATTCATCCCCGGCGCCGCGCGCCCCACCCCCAGGCCCGGCATCCACTCCGGGCAAACTTCACGGCGCGCCAGGGCCCGGGGCGGCGCCGCGGGACCGGGCAGGTGAGTCCGGGCCGGCGCCCCGCGGGCTCCCGCTTCGCCACCGCCGGGCCCCGACCCTGCGTCCACGTGGAGCCGCCCCCCGCCCCCCGGCGAGTGCAGGTCCCTCTCGCCGAGGCTCCGGGTGGGGGCAGGTCCGGCTGCGAGGACTCACCGCGCGCCCCCATCGCCGCGCCGCGCCGCGGGGCTCGTCAGCGCCCCCGGGCCGGGCCGGTGTCCACGCGGCGGGGGTCCATGCTGGGCAGAGCCGCGGGGCCAGGCCACCCCGGGAGCCGGGGGAAGGTGGTCGCCGTCCAGGGGCAGCGGGCGGAGCGGCGGGAGCGCGGCGAGACGCAGCCACCGGCGGGGCTGGCCCGGGACTCTGCGGCTCCGGCCGGGGGTCGGGGATGTTATCAGCATGTGTGCGTGCGCGGGTGGGGGTGGGGGAGGCTGTGTGTGCGTGAGGGGTCGCCGGGGGTGGGGGCCACCTGGGGTCGGAGCAAGGGGCAGGACGCCTGGGTCTGGCGCTGGCTGGGCTGGAGCGGGCTGTTCCGGGCGCGCGGTCAGGGGGTCCTCCCGGAGGGGGGCCCGGCGGGGTGCGCGTGTCTGAGGTGTGCGGGAAGCCTGGGCACCAGCCCCGCCCCGGGGCGTCCTCGCCTTGGGGCGCTTAGGTCTGGAGCAGCTCGGGCGCTTTTCTCCTTACAGCCTTAGGGTTGTCTCTCTTGAGGAATCAGACGCGGGCGAGCTGCTCGCGTGGGGCTCCCCCTCTCCACTCCTCATTTCCTAGGACCCTGAGACCCCAGAAAAGTAACTTTCAGAACAGAAAACCTGTGGCACGTTACTGCGGACACGCAGGCAGGTTGACAGTGGGCTTTTGATCCCGCAGTGCTGAGCTGGAGCCCAGCGCTTCCTGTGGGCAACGGCTCCACAGCTGAACCCCAGCCCCTCACTGGGGACTCTAGGCAGGTGACCACTGAGCCACACCCCAGCCCCTCACTGGGGGATTCTAGGCAGGGGCTCTACCACTGAGCCACACCCCAGCCCCTCACTGGGGGATTCTAGGCAGGGGCTCTACCACTGAGCCACACCCCAGCCCCTCACTGGGGAAACCTAGGCAGGGGCTCCACCAATGTCTACTTTGTGCAAGACTCTTATGCACTTTACAGGATTAAAAAAAGAGAGAGAGATTAACCTCCTAACTCCTCCTCTTCAAGACTGTATACAGCAGGACAAGTTCTGAGCAAGCTCATATCCAGCAGGAAGTTAAGGCTGATTGGATGGCAGATATCACTGTGAGCTCAGACTTAGGGACTGAGCAGGTTGGATGGAAACTGACCCTGAGCACGAGAGGAGCTTCAGGTGTGCTGCGGGGGAGGGTGGAATGAGATCAGGACAGAGTGCTCCCGGGAGGAATAGGTTGTAGAGCAGTCTTGACTGCTATTTTGTATAACTTAGATTTAAAAAGAGAAGAATAGGTGGGTGGGAGCTGGAGAGGTGGCTCAGCAGTTAAGAGCGCTGGCTGCTCTTCCAAGGGACCCAGGTTCAATTCCCAGCACCCACATGACAGCTCACAATTGCCTGTAGTTCCAGTTGCAGGGGATCTGACACCCTCACACAGATAGACGTGCAGGCAGAGCACCAGGTACAACCTTTAAAAGTGAGGGGAGACGGCTCAGTGGGTAAAAGCACTGAGTGCTCTTCCAGAGGACCTGGGTTCAGTTCCCAGCACCCCCATGGCCGCTCACGCCTGTCTTTAACTCCAAGATCTGACAGGCTCACACAGACACACGTTCGAGGACCCAGGGCGAGCTGTTCGCAACCACGTGGCCACAAACAGCTGTCTCTAATCCAGGCTGGGGATCCGACGCCTGTTCTGGACTCCACAGAGCTGCGAGCAGACTCACACGTGAAGTATCATGCAAATAAAATCAGAATAAACAGCCTTTAATGCATGTTTCTCAGCATGTAATTCTAGTGTGTCGTGTAGGGATCTATGAGCAAAGGAAGCGAGCTGAGGAGAGGGAGCTGAGGAGAGGCTTTCCTCAGGAAACCTTTCCCCACAAACTCAGACTTGATTCAGATTCCGCAGCACCCAGTGGTGGCGCACGCCTGTGATCCCAGCATTCGGGAGGTAGAGGCAGGCGGATCTCCAAGAGTTCCAGGACAGCCAGGGCCACACAGAGAAACCCTGTCTCGATAAACAAACAAGCAAAGAAGTTGGGCACAGAGGCGGCTGCCTGTAATGTCCGTGCTCGGGAGGCGGACGAGGAGGAGCCCCGGAGCTCACCGGCAGCTCAGCAGCTCGTGGCACCAAATCACTCAGTTCCAGGTTCGCTGAGACCCTGCTCCAAAGCCAGGGCCGAGGGAGGGCCCGAGAGAGGTGAGGCTGTGCGTGTTCTGGTCACCAAGTCTGAGGCCTGAGGCCGGCGGCAGACACTCAGCAGCTGCAAGCTGGCCTCTGACCTCCACATGTGTGTCCTGGGGAGCTCGCGCAGACGCACGTGCAATTCATTAACGTAACAAAGCTGAGCCACCACTGACTGAGACACCCCAGCGTCCGCCTGGGGCCTCCGCGCTTGCACGACATGGACGGTGCAGGTGCGCGCACACGCGCACTCGCACACGCGCACAGCAGCTAGGGAGGAAAGGTTCAGGGTGCCCCAGGCAGTTGCCTGCGCAGGCCGCAGGGTTCATCCGGGGAGAGCGGAGAGAGGAGCTGGCGGGAAGTCACGTGAAGCTGATCCTCCTGATCCCGGACTGTCACCTTTCCAGTTTCTTCTTGAACCTGCTCCCCAAGTGTCGCCCGGCTGTGAGACACGCACACAAGCACATCCACACACGTCCGAGTCTGAGCTCTGCCCCCTCCCCGCCCCCTCCCGGCAGCCTGCTCTTTCCAGGGCCCCTGACTCCTGCGTCACAGCTCTGACCGGAGAGGGGGCCCGGGGCTGACAGGGGCAGGGACAGCATGGCCTGACGTGGCCGGGCGCAGGACTGTCCCTTCCCCATCAGTAACTTGTCAGAGAGCCCTGGGGCCAGGCCACCGGCCTCCCTCCGTGGGCTGCAGCCAGCAGGGTCCCCTGGGGCTTTGGAAAGAGATACCATTGTGTTTGTGGGGAAGGAGAGAAGTCAGGAGAAACCCTGATTCCCAGGCCAGAGTCTCCTGAGTGTTGAGGGGCCCCGGGGCAGGGCCCAGCTCCTCCGTGAGGGCCAGGAAGGACCAGGCTGCGGCACACCTGCAGTCCCGGCTCCTGGAAGACCCCGGCAGAAGGGCTGCGGCGAGAGATCTGCCTCCAAACAAAAACAAAGCAGCTGGGGCTGGAACCCAGGGCCTGCGCTGCTGGGAAAGCACTCTGCTAACGAGTCAGCCCCAGATCCGGGGGCGGGAGCCGCTGTCCTGCCCTCCGTAGCCAGCCACGCTCTTTCCTCTTTCCTAAATGTGTTTATTTAGTATGGGCACGGGCACGCTCGTGTACGCCACAGCTCGGATGCGGAGGTCAGAGGGTACATAAGACGTGGTGCTCTCCTCCACCCTGGGACTGAACCCGGGTCATCAGGCTTGGGTGCAATCGCCTCCACCGGCGGAGCCGTCTCGCCAGCCCAGGCTGTGGCCTTCCATCAAGGGGCATGGGGAGAGGTGGGGTCGTGGCGTTTGGATGCTCCCTCCACCTGGCTTGGCCTCCCCGCCCTCGTCTCCCTCATTTCTTCAGATCCCAGACCCCAGTGGCCTTTCCCAACACCCCAGCAGGAAGCTGTCATCACGGATACACGCTCACACACGTGGCCGCATGGGGCCACGGCCTGCGCCAAAGCTGAGCACGGCCCACCCCAGGACTGTTCTAGTCACACAGGTCCCTGCCGGGACTCCTCGCCACCCTGGCTGCTTGGGGTCTTGGTCTGGAGAAGCCACCAGTTTTGGAGCAGGTGGCCGGCCAGTGGCCCGAGCCGTGAAGACACTGCAGCAGCGAGACGGCAGCGGGGCTGAAGGCAGACTGTTCTCTACGGGGCCAAAAAAAAAAAAAAGCAAATTTACAGCCCCCCGAGCTGTGCAAGCCTCAGGCCGCACGGAGCCCGCAGCTGCCTGGAGCTCCCCTAGCCCGTTTCCAAGCAGCGGCTTGTCAACTTGGGAGCCCGGCCAGACGGCCTGGGAGACCTTCTGTGCTGGAGATGGAGGTGGCGGGGCCGGGAGGGGGCCGGGAGGGTGTGGGAGGGACCCAGGGGGAGAAGGGTGCTGGAGAAGGCCTCCTGTGGGCCGCCGGGGCGGTGGCGCACGTCTGTAACTCAGCTGAAGCAGGGACCACGGGTTCCAGGCGGCCTGAACTCTACAGCAAGCCTTACCTCAGAGAGAAAGGAAGAGGGCGGGGCGCACGCCTTAATCCCGGCGGGAGGCAGGTGAGCTCTGGGAGTTTGAAGCCAGCCTGGTCTATAAAGTTCAGGGATAGTGAGGGCTACCAAAAAAAAAAAAAAAAAAAAAAAAGAAAGAAAAGAAGAGAAGAGAAGAAAGGAAAGGAAAGGAGCTTGGGAGACGCTCAGTCCTGTGCGCTGCCCAGTGTGAGGCCCCGCGTTTGAGCGTGTAAAAGGCTGGGAGCAGCGCACGCCTCGGTCAGGGCTGGGGAGAGGCGCGGGCAGATGGCCGGCCAGCTAGCCTGCCCAGGCCCCGGCCCCGGTGGCAGATCTGTCAACACACACAATGGACAGTTCTGAGCAGTGGCGCCTAAGGCTGACCTCTGGACCCTGTATGTGCACAGAACCCCACCCCCACACACAAAAAGAAAAAAGCCAGCCACCGTGGTGCGTGCCTGCAACCCTAGCACAAAGGATGTGGAGGCAGGGGGACCAGAGTTCAGGGTCACCCCCAGATAGAGCAGCGTCGAGGCTAGCCTGGACTGCGTGCGGCCCTGCTTCGGGGTAGGGAAGGGAGACGTGAAATCTAGCTTTTTCCTTCCTAATGGATGTCACACAGTCAAGCTCATAGCCTCCCTGAGGACACCTGCAAAGCCCCCATCCCAGGCTTCCCCGCTCCGTACCCCTTAGGGGCCACATAGACACAGGGACTCTGTCACCGGTCCAGCCCTACCCCAGGCTGCTCTTCCTCCGGCAGCATCGAAGGCTCTGCCTGCGGACAGTGACCCCGGAGGGCACGGCAGGCAGCGAGGAAACATGGAGAAGAAACTACAAACACAGCCGTGTGAGCCAGAGCTGCCAAGACAAACTGACCAAACTACAGAGCGCGTGGAAGGGCTGCCTGCCGCCAGCTCGCCTGGGCTCCGGCCAGGAGGGCAGAGTCAGGAACACAGACGTGCTGGGAGACACAGCGCAGCCGGCTTCCTGCAGTTCCAGATCCACAGATCCAGGCAGGGCCGCCCTGAGGATGAGTTCGATGAGGGCTCCCCACGCTGGCGGCCATGCCCACAGTCCTAGCACTTCAGGAGGGAGGACAGTCGGCCTGGACAACATATAGAGAAACTCTCTCAGAAACAACAAAAGGGATGGAAAGGCGGGTCAGTGGTTAAGCATGTGCACGCCTGCGACCCCAGCTCTCGGGAGGCAGAGGCAGGCAGAGCTCTGTGAGGTCGAGGGCAGCCTGGGCCACAGAGAGAGCTCAAGCCAGGCAGGCGAGTGAGCCCTGTCTCAAAGAAACAAAGGAGGAGGAAGGAAGAAAGGAAGGAAGGAAGGAAGGAAGGAAGGAAGGAAGGAGAGGAGGAAGGAAGAAAGGAAGGAAAAAAGGAAGGAAGGAAGGAAGGAAAAAAGGAAGGAAGGAAGGAAGGAGAGGAGGAAGGAAGAAAGGAAGGAAGGAAGGAAAGAAGGAGAGAAGGAAGAAAGAGGAGGAAGGAAGGAAAGGAGGAAGGAAGGAGGGAAGGAGAGAAGGAAGAAAGGAGGAAGGAAGGAAAGGAGGAAGGAAGGAGGGAAGGAGAG